GGGTGTGGTGGAGCTGGAGGGGAGTGTGGAGCGGACAAGGGAGTCACGGAGAGAGTTGTCCCTCCGGAAAGCAGATAAGGGTGGGGAGGGAAAGATGTCTTTGGTGGTGGGGTCGGATTGCAGATGGCGGAAGTGTCGGAGGATGATGCGTTGGATCCGGAGGTTGGTGGGGTGGTACGTGAGGACGAGGGGGATTCTTTTTTGGTTTTTATTGCGTGGACGGGGTGTGAGGGATGAGGTGCGGGAGATGTGGGAGACACGGTTGAGGGCGTTCTCGACCACCGAGGAGGGGAAGTTACGGTCCTTGAAAAACGAGGACAACTGAGATGTACGGGAGTGGAATGCCTCATCCTGGGAGCAGATGCGGCGGAGGCGAAGGAATTGGGAATAGGGGATAGCATTTTTGCAGGAAGGTGGGTGGGAGGAGGAGTATTCTAGGTAGCTGTGGGAGTCGGTGGGCTTGAAATGAATATCGGTTTCTCGGTGGTTGCCAGATATGGAGACAGAGAGGTCCAGGAAGGGGAGAGAGGTGTTAGAGATGGTCCAGGTAAACTTAAGGTTGGGGTGGAAGGTGTTAGTGAAGTGTATGAACTGTTCGAGCTCCTCGTGGGAGCATGAGGCGGCGCCGATACAGTCATCAATGTAACGGAGGAAGAGGTGGGGTTTAGGGCTGGTGTAGGTACGGAAGAGGGATTGTTCCACGTAACCTACAAAGAGGCAGGCATAGCTTGGGCCCATGCGGGTAACCATGGCTACCCCCTTTGTCTGTAGGAAGTGGGAGGAATTGAAAGAGAAGTTGTTGAGGGTGAGGACGAGTTCGGCTAAGCGGATGAGGGTATCAGTGGAGGGGGACTGGTTGGGCCTGCGGGACAGGAAGAAGCGGAGGGCCTTAAGGCCATCTGCATGGGGAATGCAGGTGTAGAGGGACTGGACATCCATGGTAAAGATGAGGTGTTGGGGACCGGGGAATTGCCTGACTGGCTGAACAGCAAGACATACAAGGCTATGGGCCAAGTGCTGGCAAATGGGATTAGATTTATTAGGTGGTTGTTTTTGATCAATGTAGACTCAATGGGCTGCAGGGGTCTTTTCCTGTGAATTAGAGATCTCGATGACTTTATCAGCATTCCTGCATATTTTCCTTCTATTTCAATTGGCGTTAAGACTGGCCTCAGGGACTGTAGTTATCCTGTTATGGTCACGATATGGAGAGACAGCAGTAACAGGGCAGCGACTGGAATGATCATATTGAAAGGGCTCGATTAACTCGACGGGCCGAATGGCCTACTCCTGTTCTTAATTTCTATGACCACGTGGCTGCGGGTAAATTGGCTGCTGGCTTCCCTGTACATTACAAACGTACTCCATTTGCTTTGAGGCATCCCGGGGAGAGTGTGGCTAAAAGGCGCTAGGTAAACGCAACTCTTCCTTTTGAATGCATTGCTCTCGTGTGCCCTTCGCGCAAGCAGTGGGGGCTTTTGCGGGGTACAAGGGGAGGTTTAGAACCGACTGGATAAGGTTTCTCCCAGGCTGTTGAGAGCGGCAAACTCAGTTGTTGTTGCAAACAAGATTTAAGGTTGACAGGCGCCGATCCCGAGAGATGAGGGACTGGAAGTATTCAAACCAACTGTTTCTCTCTGCAAGTTTTCCCGGGAGGGAAAATAACTAACTATTGATCCAACTGTTTACAATCTCCGGGAATTTCTCTCAACTGGGATTCCTGAGCCTGGACTGTGTCCGACTCTCGGCGATCAGTCTCTGATAGATTTCGCTGGCGTTAGCTGTATCTGAATCCGTCCCGAACATTGCGCTGACAATTTATGCCTCTTTGCCTTCCCTCCCCCCGCCTCCCGTTTAATTTCACCTTCGAGCAGCCCCGGGGATGCTGGTCAGTTTCACCAGGCTGAAACGGAGCCAAGGTGTTCCAGGCTTCCCTTCCAAGGGCAGGAGGAAAGGGTGGAAACTTTTCTGAAATCCTCGGCCTGAGGACTCTCGGTGTATTTCGCTTCCTGGGTCCCGCAGACTGAGCTCAACAGAATTTAGTCAACTCTTCCTGTGTCCCTCTTTACCACGTTGCTCTTGTCTTGCGAGGGGAGATTTGGGGGTGGGTGGAGTGGGATGAAAGACTGAGTCTTGGACGAGTTGAAGAAACCAGATTCCAATAATCACTGCCCCCACCCAAACAAAAACCCAATTCGCCAACAAAAACACTCGGCAAACACCTCCGGACCAATTCACCAGAAATCTGGGACTGCAACACGCTCACAACAACTTGTCATTTTCTGGCAGTCAGCTTTGCTACAGTCTTTCCGAAAGCAAATCGCAAAAAGCCATGAACGGTGGAGAATACTTTCCGATGATCCTAGCCCTTGCTCTGCTGTCACCAACGTATCCCTCGCCTGTCTGGAATGCTGGATCGGAAAGGTAAGGGTTAATTAACAAACCTCCAAACGGTCACCTTACGCTCTCTGGATGAAAATGTGCTACGCTGAGGTTCCCCCGCCAGCCCCGGACTGAGATTCTAGTCTCAACTGGCCCTGAGGCGTATCATAATTGATTAAGTGATTCATTTGCAGGTCGTGGGACTTTTTTTTAATCAAGATGTCCACATTGAGATGAGATCTGGATTGGTACACGTGTGGGGAGAAATACAATCCCCTCTGCCCAATTGCTCAGCATTGTCTAGTTACAGGGAGTGACCCGAACTCTCAAGCCGCTCCCTTCCTCGAAGATGTGCAGAGGAGAACCGGAGGGCTGTCAAATGCAGCTCTAGAGGCATTGACAATCGTTGTGCTGGAGGGGAGTGGGCTCCTGAAACTTTCCCCGCATACATTGGGGGGGGGAAGGGGAGGCTGATATTCTTGCAAACTCTCGTGTGTGTCTGAAAGTTTGCACTTTGTGTCTCCCGGCACCGAGCAGAAGAATCCATTCCTGACAAGTGTCCCACAACAACAACCCTGCATTTTCAAAACGCCTGGGCGGAAAGGGAAGGGGGGGGGGAACCGTCACGGGTGCTGCGTTAAGGGAGGTCAGCCAAAACAGTTGGCTCGCGTTGAAACCAAAGTGCGTGCGAGTGCTGGACGTGACTCGCTGTTGACCAGCCATTGCCTCATGTTCTCATCTTGTTTTAATTAGTGAAGCGTGCCCTGACAATCATGTGATCACCCTGGAGTATCAGTGCTGGAAGGCTACTGGCGAAATGTCCACGTGTTTACGGTAAAGAGAACTTGGCATTAACAGCATTTATTTTGGGGGAAGGGGTGAAAACTAATTGAGGACCCTGTGTATCCCCTGGCAGGTGTCCAATGCCATCTGGATGACAGATGAAAGGAATTCAGCACCAGATTTAAAAAACGGTGCGGGAGAAACTCAGCAGGTCTGGCAGAATCGGGGTGGGGGGGGAAACAGATAGTTAACTTTTCGACTCGACGTTTCTTCAGAATGATTTCTGACAAGTCTTCCCCAACAACAGCTCTCCATTTATAAAACGCCTATCTGGCACTGAATAAAACGACCCCTGAACCCTTCATAAGGAAGTCCACCACGATAGTTGGCTTTGGAATGGAAGAAAATTTCATTGCTAGAATCGAAGGGTCACTGGACTCAATGTTAACTCTCTTTCTCTACTGCCAGATTTGCTCAGTTTCTTTAATTTCAGATCTCCACCATTGCCGAGTACTGTGCTTTTATTATAAGATGATCTCCTGGTCTCTCTCAAAAAAAAACAAAACAGGGTTTGGAAATAGTGACTGAACACTGTTTAACAAGAACAAATACCATGGGTGCCAGAAATCCAAAATACTGGAGACTGGACAGAATTGGAGTTCAGGCTAATGACCTTTTGCTAGAACTCCCCCTCCCTGACCGTGACACAGACACAGACACACACAGCCCCACTTAGCATTTTGTTTTTTTTTGTCTTTTTTAAGATTTGATACCTTTGTTACTTTCAAATAGAAACCTTCTATTGATTTGGGGTGGGTGGTTAGCTCAGTTGGCTGGATGGACAGTTTGCGATGTAGAATAATGCTGACAGTGTGGGGTCAATTCCCTCACTAGCTGAGGTCACTATGAAGGACTCTCCTTCTCAAACTCTCCTTCACTTGAGGCTTTGTGACCTTGACGTTAAACCATCACCAGTTGCCCCTCTAATGAGGAAGCAGTTCTACTGTCTGGTAGGTCTATAGCATCTTTTTTTATTAAAATCCTGTTCTGAGGAAGGGTCACTCGGACTGCAATGTTAACTCTGATTTTCTCTCCACTGATGCTGCCAGACCCACTGAGCTTTTCCAGCAATTTTTATGTATGTAGCTTTTTTCTTTTATTGATGGACAACAATAATTTTCTGGAAACAATCTCAGATGTAGTTTGCCAACACTTGATTTTCACCCATATACAGACCAAGATTAGTGAATCTTCTCCTGTGTGTGAGTAGTACCACAAAGCCATGGTTGGAACACTGGATACCTTAAACATTCTGATAGGGCTCTCACTCTTGCTCTCATCTCTCTAGGTAGCCTTAGACCATTCCCAAAAGGTTCTGCAGACAATGAAACTATTAAGTCACTATTGTAATGCAGCAGACACACTCCATCCTGACTTGGAATTGCATTGTTATTCATTCATTGTTGCTGAGTCAAAATTCTCAGACTCCCTCCCTGATGGCACTGTGGGTATCCCTAGAGGTCAAGAACTGCAATGGTTCAAGATAACTCATCTCCACCTAATCCAGAGGAAGTAAGGATGGGCAATGAATGCTGGCCCAGCCACAAAGCCCACATCCCTCAATAGATTTGTTAAAGATCACATCAAATTCAGTTTCTGAACTTGTACTAGCTGTTTAAGGACAGCAGATACTGGAGCAGGTCAGAGGTTAGGAATCTTGTAATGAGTAACTCACTCGCTGACTCCCCAAAGCCTGTTCACCACCTATAAGGCACAAGTCAAAAGTATGGTGGAATATTCCTTGCTTGACACCACACAGGACAAAGCAACCCACTCAACTGTCCCCACATCCACAAAAATTCAGTCCCTCTACCACCAATGCTCAGTAGCAGCAATGTGTACTATCTACAAATGCACTGCAGAAATTCTGTCGTCAAAGCTCCATAGACAGCATCTTGTAAATCCACGACCCCCTACTTGGGATTACCACCATCTGCAATTTCCCTTCCAAGCCGCACGCCGTCCTGACTTGGAACTATATCCCAGTTCCTTCAGCATTGCTGGGTTGAAGTCCTGACCACCACCACTCCCCACCCCGGGTGATGTTGTGGGGCTACCTACAGTTCAAGAGACTTGAACTTCTCAAGGGCAACTAAGGATGGGTAATAAATACAGGCCCAGCCAACAACGTCCATGCCCCATGACTGAATTTTTAAAGAAAAAACTCTCTCAAACATCAATGTGATAAATGACCAGGTGAAATGATGGTTTTTTTTTAAATTGGAGATAAATATTGCCCAGGGCATTGGGGACAACTGCCCTTCTCTGAA